TTACCGTTATATGGGAGGTAGGCGTGGTTATTGTCCGATTTCGCCCATTTGCAATACCATCCGTTCTACGCCCAGAAGAAGTCCATGTACCAAGTTTCGTTAAGATATCTCAATTTTTACTCGAGTTATCGTGTGCACAGACGGACGGACGGACGGACAGACAGTCACCGCTTAATCGATTTCTCTTTTCATTCTGATCATTTATGTATACATTTGTCTATATCTATCTCAATTCGTTTTGCCTGTTACAAACAACCGTTATGTGAACAAAGTTATAATACCCTTGTGCACAAGTGCGCTCGGGTATAAAAATATCAATCATTTTATGGGCATATCGCCGGGTCGTTACGTACCAGTTGCGATAGTAGGTTTGTTCCACAATCTACTCGAAGTAACTTCGAGTTACACATACGCGTTCCACAAGTAAGTTTTAGAGTTTCTTTAATATACGCTCACAGTTTGAACTTTGCTCGAATTTTTCTACAAGTAGCTTGTGGAACAAACCTAATATCGAGGGCTTATATTCAACAGCCTCTATCTGCAATTTTCACAAAAACAACTTTGTGATGTTAGAACCCATCTGGGCCTTATTTGTCATCACTGGTGTTAATTCTGACTTTTCGATTTAAAAGTAAATTCTTCTGTCAAGCGTGATACAAGGTCTGCATTAACATCACCGAGGAAAGCTAAGTCTTAGGTGGATTTTTATATTAGAATCTCATTTTTGTGAAAAATGCAGATAGAGGGTATTGAATATAAGCCCTCGATATGTTGGAGGTTTAATTATTTAAAAATGTTGAAATACCAGGATCAGGAATAAAAACGAAAGTGATTTTCAAGAAAATTAATTCATTTATTTTAATCTTGTAATAATTATAAAGTTAGGAAACATATTCAGAGCAAGGTTTATGTCACACGGCCGTAGAGCAACTGCTTTATATTTTTTAATTCTTGTCGCAGCATACCTATAGTTTCATACTACAATACTAATTTGTGTGGCTTTACATTTGTGTAGTGTGAGCTAATGTCAATTGGCTCTCATTACTTTACATATTTATGTTAAGGTGTACATACAATATGAATGTATACATTACAACACCCTCCTTACATTAATATTGTTCACCTTTTAAATCTTAACTTATTACTATTTTACGAGTCAACGGAATCAATCTTGACAATGTCGATTAAACCATCTTCATAATTTTTGTGAAGTTCCCAAACTTTCCAATTGCTATTGCCCTGAGTTATCTTCAAAAATGTTTATTGGCTTTTCTAATTTTAATTTGAAAGCATCATTTAATAAATTTCTTACAAAAAGTACTTCAGTTACTGCTTCTGACATTGCAGTATACTCAGCGAATGTTGAACATTTAGTTACTTTATTTTATTTATGTGTTTTCCAAAAAACTAAATTCCCATACATTCTGATAATGAAGCCCGTTGTTGATTTCCTATCAATATTGTCTCCTGCAAAATCAGAATCAACCATGCAGTCAAGTATTCTACCTTTTAAATTGTCAAAGTACGTTAATTTAAAATTTTTAGTTTTATATAAGTATTTTAGCACCCTTAACGCATACTTGGAATGAGTTTCATTATAACAACTTTGGAATCTACTTAAATAATTTACACTATAGGCAATGTCCGGCCTCGTACCGGTACTAATGTACAATAACTCACCTATCAAATTTCTATATTTTATTCTTTCATTCGTCTCACTAGATTGCTGTAACTTTAGTTTACTTTCCATAGGGGTATCATACAACCTTGTATTTTCTAAATTATATTTTAGCGCTAAAGACTCGATATACCTTGTTTGACTTAAGGTCATTTTACTTTTATCAATATTATAATTTATATCTATGCCTATATAATTAGTAACGTTGCCCAAGTCTTTCATTGATAAATTTTTCACTAAATTTCTTTTATATTTTTGATTTTATTTCTGTTTTTGCAACAAATCAACTTGTCATCAAAAAATATCAAAATGTATATTGGATCTTTGTTTTGATCTTTAACGTAGAGACAATAATCATAATTGCTTCGTATGAAGCCTAATTCTTTCATAAATTTGTTTAGATACTCATACCAAGCTTTTGGACTTTCTCCTAAACCATATAAGCTTTTCGCAATTTACATACTTTGTTTTGTCCAGTTTGATAGCCTTGTGGTTCGTAAATGTATACTTCCGATGATAACCAACCATTTAAATATGCAGAATCAAAATCCATTTGTTCAATTTCTAAATGATGCAAACACATACATACGTGCATGTATTTATACGCGCGGTTAACTATAATATCCCGCCGGATAATGAACTTTCGATAAGTTTCCCCTTAACGTCAGTTACTGTCCGGCGGTACGAGTTAAGGTCCCGTAAACCTTTTACTTCACTTCGGTTTAGAAGATCAACGCGAGCGCAGCAGCTACCAGGCCACTCCAATCCAAAGGTATTTAAATATTTTGTAACAGCAACTTATATGTATATGTATATATTGAAATAAATTGACCTTGTATAGCATTAATCACTAAAATCGAAATATCTTGGTTTTTTTATTTCTTTCTGCTATATTTACACCGGAGCGTGATCCCCAATCGCCCCCGTGTAAACAGTCTCTTTTTGTTGGAATCCTCTAGCCACTAACCTAGCTTTATATGTATTATCATTTTTCTTTTTATATATCCATTTCGTATCAATTATTTGTTTATCTGTAGGTTTATCAACAACAACCCAAGTTTTATTCTTATTTATAGTATCAATTTCTGAGCCCATTGCTTTTTTCCATTCATTATGCTCATCGCAATTTATTGCCTCATCGAACATATTAGGTACATTTGCATTAACGTAGTTAATGTAAATATAATGTGTAACAGGATTACCAAATCGATTTACTGGACGTTTATTTCTTTGTGAGGTTCTTTCTAATGAGAGGCTTTCTTCATCCTTCTCCTCATGCTGTAAATTACTATTTGTTTCTTTATCATCGACATTATTTTCTTTATCTCTATACGATTCTAGGGTAGAAGATATTTGATAAGGTCTATTGGAATTATTGTTTTCATTTTCTTCACTCGCAATAGTTCCACTATCTTTTTTGTCATTCTCATCCTCCAAATTTAAATATATAAGACTTTCATCTTCAAAGTCGCTATCATCATTTTCAATTCTTTTTTCCAAGCAAATTAATTCTGTTTCATTTTCTACTACTCGTACATGTCTTGCGTTGATAACTTTATTTTTAACAAGAACTCTATAGCAATTATTTCTATACCCTACTAGTATTCCCACTTGTGCCTTATCGTCCCATTTGCTTTTTCTTAAAACTTCTGGTACTCTTACAAAAATTTTATTGCTATAGATCTTTAAGTGATTTACATTAGGTTTTTTACCGAAAAATATCTCATAGTTTTATTTTGTCGTGTGCTGGCTATTGTACGATTTTTTAAATAAGCGACAGTTGTTATTATTTCTGGCCAATATCTATTATGTAATTTTGCCTCTCTTGCTAGACATCTGCCCATATCCTTAGCTGATCTATTGCAACGTTCAGCTACACCATTTAATTCATGCACATAAGGCGGGCAAGGTAAAATTTCAATACCTTTGTGCTTTGCAAAATTAAAAATTTCTTTATTTAAATATTCTCCGCCATTGTCACATTGCAATTTTTTGATACTCTTATTGAATTGATTTTCTACTAAATTTGCATATTCTATAAAACAACTTGCTGTCTCTGACTTATATTTAATGCAATAAATTTTGGCACATTTACTATAGTCGTCAATGAAAATTAAAAAATACTTTTCTCCGCAATATCCCGCAGTTCTATGTGGCCCATTCAAATCTGTATGTATCAATTCCAAGATTTCAGTTGTACTTGCTCGCTTATTCTCAAATGGTACATTAGCCATTTTACTTTGTATACAATTTGCGCATTTCATATCATTATTCTCTAATCTATCTGGTAAACCTTCTACCATTTTATCATTTACTAGTCTATTTAAGTATTGAAAATTTATATGACCAAGTGCTCTATGCCATTTTTCCTNGTTTACTTGTCTATTTAAGTATTGAAAATTTATATGACCAAGTGCTCTATGCCATTTTTCCTTTTCTGTTAATTTTACTAAATTTATATAAATATTGCCGTTATAAAGACTTTTCATATAATACAAACCATCTATTTCGTTCGCTACAGCTATTAGTATTCTGTTTTTATTGTAAATTTTTGCAACATCATTTCTCGTAACTATCGTATTATGTTTAGTTATTTTTGAGAAGCTTAACAAATTTCTTTTTATACCTTTTACATAATAAACATTTGTTAAATCGACTTCTACTTTATTATAATAAGTCTTAAAATAAGTTTTTACTGTGCCTATCTTTGTCGCTTTCAGAGTTTTATCGTCGGGCAATTTAACATCAATTGGTTTTCCTAAGTCTATACAATTTGAGAGATAATTTTCATTATTAACAATGTGGTCTGTACAGCCACTGTCCAATATTTAACCACTCAATTTCATTAGGATTTTGTTTTTCATTCACATTCATTTGCATTACTTGTGTTGCCCATGCTTCTTGCGTTGACTCATATTGCTCGTTGCTCCGTGCTTTCTGATGTTTTACACCTCTACCTCGACCGCTACCTCGATGTGCTCCACCTCTGCTGTAGTTTCTGTGTGAGCCTCGTCCTCTCGGAGCATATCTTGTCTGGCTTGCTTGCACCATTTCATCTCCATTGTTACTTTGTTGACCATGCCAACAGTCTTTTGCCCAATGCCCAATTTTTCCACACTGATAACACTTTCCTTTGGTCTTGACATTAAATGTACTCACATTTGGTCTCTTTTCATTATCAGCTTTAGTCAAATTTTTTTCTTGAATTTTTGANCAGCCGCACTCAGAGTCGTTTAAGGGTTACTTAAGGTGCCCCTCAGTAATGATTTCAAAAAATTCCCTCTCAGAGTCAGTAAATGATTCGTTAACGGCATTTATTGAACATTAAAGTTAAGTAAACAAAAACCTTTACTTAACTTTTTAACGAANGTTTTTCATTGCTTTAGTAAAATTTTTTTCTTGAATTTTTGATTTTATTAAGTCAACAGTTTTTTGCTCTTGTGGCACTAACAGCCGCACTCAGAGTCGTTTAAGGGTTACTTAAGGTGCCCCTCAGTAATGATTTCAAAAAATTCCCTCTCAGAGTCAGTAAATGATTCGTTAACGGCATTTATTGAACATTAAAGTTAAGTAAACAAAAACCTTTACTTAACTTTTTAACGAATGATTTTGATATTTTTTGTTTGTTTTCAATAAATTTCAATTTCGATAACGTTGCTGTAACAGTGGCAATGGCCCAGTGAGCAGGGCACTTTTGCGCCATTCAAGAAACTTCGAACTTTCGAAACTTTTTTGGTCCATCTTTTTATACCCGAGCGCACTTGTGCACAAGGGTATATTAATTTTGTTCACATAACGGTTGTTTGTAACAGCCAAAACGAATGGAGATAGATATAGACAAATGTAAACATAAATGATCAGGATGAAAAAAGAAATCGATTAAGCCATGTCTGTCTGTCCGTCCGTCCGTCTATCCGTCTGTCCGTCCGTCCGTGTACACGATAACTCGAGCAAAAAATGAGATATCTCAACGAAATTTGGTATGTAGGTTTCCCTTAATCCAAGGTAGGTTGGGTAAAATGGGCGAAATCGGACTTTAACCACGCCCACTTCCCATATAACGGTAATTTCCAGAAATACGAAAACTGCGATATTTTAGTAACTACTGAAGATACTTTACTCAAAATTGATATTTAAAATAATTTTTAGACGAAAAATAAGAATATTATAAATTTTTGGAAAATGGGCGTAGCCACGCCCACTTATGGTTACATGTGTATATCTTGGTAACCGCTGCACCAATTTCTTCCAAACTTGGCACAGTTGTTGGCCTTGGTACAGCATAAAAAATCGCCGAAACTTTTTAAAATCGGACAATAACCACGCCCACATCCCATATAACGGTAATTTAGAGAAATACAAAATCTTCGATAAATCAGTAAATATTGAAGCTAATTTATTCAAAATTGATACTTGCAACAATTCTTTACCAAGAAATACGTTTATGGTAAAATTTTGGAAAATGGGCGTGGCACCGCCCACTTATGATCACATATAAGTATATCGGTAACCGTTCTACCAATTTGTACCAAACTCGGTGTGGTTATTGTGCTTGCCACATATAAGCAAAACGTTGAAAATTATTGAAATCGGACTAAAATAACGGCCGCTTCTCATATAACGGTAAATTTCAGAAATGCTTGAAACTTCAATATTTCGAAATTGAAGGACGCTAATTTACTCAAAATTGATACACCCCGGCTTACCATCTAGCGGAAGGTTTCGGAAAGGTGAAAAAACATATATTTAATACTTGCGCCGGGTATTTAATGTTCGGCTCCGCCCGAACTTAGACTTTCTTACTTGTTTCTTTTACTTTCAGTTTCTCAAATTTTTAGTTTTTCCTGTTTTGTCTCTCGAAAACTGAGGCGAGTTAAAGGACAGATGCCAGAACGGAATTATTGGTCTTGTTTGTCTTTTAGCAAACAGTTTCTAAAAATTAAATAAAATACAAAACAATTTGGTTCCTTTTTAAAGCAATAAAATCTATAAATCAAAAGAAAATTAGATCAAAAAAGCAAAAAAATCAATAAAGACAGTTTATAAAAATTGAAAAAGAAAAAAAAAATAAATAAAAAAGGGAAAAGAAAATGTTCCAGTCTCAGGACTCGAACTCGGATCTCTCGAATGGCATGCCAGTGCTCTGCTCACTCAGCCATTGCATCTGTTGAGCCAGTGCGCGCAAAATGATATGAATATTTATATTTATATTTTATTTCAAACTTAACGAAAAAAGAGAGTGATGCCACAAAAATTAAAGGCCGCAACCGGGGCCATACTCACATTTTTTATTTCATAATTTTTAACTCTGAGAGGAAACATTAATTAACAGATTTAACGATCACCCTGCAAAAATCGTTGGACCATGTAGTCTATTTGTGGTATATTGGAGTACTTACAAAAGTGCTCCTCTGTCATGCTGTAGCGGACCAACTCGTGTCTCTGCACCAGCTTATTGTTACCCGATCACTGCTCGTGTTTTAACGACATGTGATTGAAGTTAAGCATTTGAAAGTACATTTGCATGTCTGGCTGTAGCTGAACGTGTAGAGATGCTAGCTGTTAGTTCTTAGCTCCCAGCATGTTCGGGTTCGAATGTCGTCAGAGGCAACATGTAATTTTTAATTTTTGTTTCTGGTTTTTATTAATTTCAAAAAAAGCATCTGCGAAGTGAAGAACAAAAGCGTGTACAAACGAAAAAATATAACGATAATGTCATTGGAGTATGTTGGGAGTAGTTTTGTGCTACTCTGATGTAATGCAGAGATGGAGTACATGGTCCTGCCCTAGGACATCGCAATGTTAATTGGACCATATTTTTTATATGAATTGTGGTTAATTTTAGAGTACTCCTTGGACCTTCGGGAGTACTCTTTACATGCATGCATGGAGTAGTCGCGATTTTTGCAGGGTATAACTCGGTGGCAATGCTTTAATCATGTATCTCATTTTCTCTTCTTCACTTAACCCTCTAGTAGGCCAATTTTTTATGAGTTGAAAAATTCAGGAATGGGTGAATTTAGCACGAGAAATCCAAAAATTATGTCCATTTCGATCTGTGACAGTAACTTTTTCCTACAGGGGAGAAAAACAAAGACCGTCTGGAGACGGGCTCGCCGATATACTTACACATATTTTCAGCTTTCTCTTACACAATGTTGTCCTACGAACCGTCTGCAGACGGTCAAAAATGCAAACTAGGTCTTTATATGTCGGCAAGCCGGTCTGTAGACGGTCTGTGTTCGAAAGCAATGTTCTCCATTTCGAATGGTGACATAATTATAAAACTTATATTAAAATACGGTGCTTTTAACAACGAAATCCACCGAATTTATTTATATCAAAAAATTTTTCAAAAGAAAAAATTTCTTTAATTACGAAATTACTAAATATCAAGAAATAATTAATTTTAACCGTGTTTTAAAAATTTGTAATTCAACTGCCGATTAAAATAAAACGGATTGACATAACGGATTAAAATTGACACCGCCGTAAAGATCGTGCCTTACGAATATAGAAAAAAATTATTATAGGTGCACTAAAATGGTGTTTAGTTAACGACCGTCTGGAGACGGTTCAGCCTACTTGGGGGTTAAGCTTCCACCTTCCGCTTTTAAATCATTGCATGCCTTTTCAAAACTAATAAAAAAATCTTCGACATTATTGTAGTTCTTTAATTTCACTTCATCCAATTTATTTCTGCTTATTATTTGCATTGCTGTAGATTTAGTTGAGTACATTTTTTCTAGTTTTTGTATCAGTTCAAGAGTAGTTTAGCAGTCACTCAAATATTCTAACTGTTTATCTGAGACCGCACTTATTAATATTGTTTTTGCTTTTAAATAAGTTTTTTTACAGTCTTCAGCTTTTTCAATTTCTAGTTTTTCTCTCATTGCAGGTTCATTGCACTCTTTATATTCCTAAAAATTCATCAATCTGAATTTCCAGCTACTGAAATTTGCTCCATCAAAAATTGGAATACAAATATCATCAACTTTTGCTTGTTTAGCCATAGTTTCACTCTTTTTTATATTGTCTTCTATTTCTTTTTTTAAAAATAACATTATTTTGAAATTTGATCTTTTTCCAAAGTTTTTTTTTTCTTTTTGTCAGACTTTATAAACCTTGCTCTGCTATCATGTTGAAATACCAGGATCAGGAATAAAAACGAAAGTGATTTTCAAAAAAAGTAATTCATTTATTTTAATCTTATGATAATTATAAAGTTTAAAAACATATTCAGAGCAAGGTTTATGTCACACGGCCGTAGAGCAACTGCTTTACGTTTTTTGATTCTTGTCGCAGCATACCTATAGTTTCATACTACAATACTAATTTATGTGGCTTTACATTTGTGTAGTGTGAGCTAATGTCAATTGGCTCTCATTACTTTACATATTTATGTTAAGGTGTACATACAATATGAATGTACACATTACAACAAAAAAGAGGGCTGACTTTTTTTGTCGGGTGTGGCTAGTTATCTCGAAAATAACTTTCAGTTTAGTAACAACAAATTTGAATATTCGAATGGCTTTTGCCTATAACTTACAATTATTTTTTCACAATTTACTCACATTGCAAAAGAGTTTTGCATACAAGATATAGAGTTAGACTAGTGAACCCGCATGGCGTCAAAACGCCAACATTTCAT